AAACAAGTTTTATTCTTGAAATTCGGCCCTGTGTCTTAGTGTTCCCACAGATCTTGACCGAGTGCTCACGTTTATTGAAACCTCGCATAAATCAAGAAATAAGTACGTGTACAAAGTGTACGAAAGCATTCCTTTATTTGACCTTATCATACGATCGCAAAAACAGCTTTTTAAAATCTTTTTTGGGGTGGTTCTCGGGTAAGCACCCACCCCCAATTTTTCCCGATTTTGTACGTTCAGGCCCCTGGGCACGTGCCCGGGGTAATACGGTATATACAATGTTTGAAATTTCTGAAAATCGGGTGCCGGACACCAGAGCAGGTATCTTGCAGATTTCAGCAGCCCTGTCAGGATGATCTTAAACCAGCATTAAAAGCTTTTAAATATTTCCGTTCAAATTTGATGCTAGTACGCCAAGTCACTTTATGTTTGCAGAATTCAACAACAGACACAGCCCAAATGATTTCAGTCTATATATGGTTTTCACTTTCGTCTAAACCTGAGTAATCTGATTTTTATTCAACATTTGTAGCATTTAATTGCTTCATCGTCAATTACTTGTATGCATGTGTAGTCTCTGGGCCCCAAAACTTTGTCTTGCAAAATCAGCTCTTGTAAGTACCGGTAAGTGTTTTTTCTACAGGTCACATGTGCGTGTTTTATTTATTTTATTTTATTATTTTTTTATCTTGGCGTAAACCAGGATGAGTCAAACACAAGCACCTTAACTAAGGTTCTAAAGCGGCATTTGTTAGTAAATAAAACTTGGTCAGATTTTTAGTCTTCCCTTTGAGTCTGTGGCACACCCTTGGGACCATCAATCATGAGTCCAATGCTGCAACAACAATACTATTTTATACTATTGATTAATGAAATCTGACTATACACATGTCATTAAGTTGCTTTAAATTAACATTTATCTAATAGATGTTGACAATTTGCATAGACTACTATACTAAAGCGTTGTTTTAATAAATACTAATAGTTCCAGATTGCCCAATGAGATTTAAGCATCATGTGTTGGCCACTCTTTCGATTTATTGTTTAATAAACAAATTAGATTCTTAAAAGTAAATAAAGTGCATCACAGTAAAATGTATTATGTAACCTTTGATCTCCTGTTCAGCTGACCATGACAGTTATGCACCAAATTCAATATGGCTCCCATTGCTCTATTTGTATCAAAGTCATCACGTAGACTCTCCATGACCAGCTTTTTCGTTCTCATCA